CCTGTGAGGGAGGCGTCTGGGATCATCAGGTGGTTTTGCAGCCAAGACTCTCCTGTGTAGTTCTCTTTTTATGCTCTTCAGTTTTAACTGGAACTTTTCTATGTCTGAAATAATACATTTGTTGAAGAAAATCCAGTCTATACTAAGGGATTTACTAAGGGATTATTATTTTTTTTTTTTCTGATGAAGAAAAAGATGGGGTTTTAGCAATCTTCCAATGACCTGTAAATAGAAATAGGAAGAAACATGCTACAGAATTAAAATACTGATTGAAATCTAACCCTGGATCGCAAGGTCCTCTTATATTTGTTGTCTCAAGCAAGATCAAGTAAGTATTCCCAAAAGCTAGGCAAGGCTAGTATTTATGAAGCACTGTTTATTTTGCTTCTAAATGAACAAAATAGAAAAGAAGGAATATACTAAGACATAATGTAACAAAGATGTTACAGGATTGTAGGAGACTGGGAAAATTTGCCAGTTATTTTGTCATATAGGAACTTTCAGTGTGAAGTACAGGTCATCTTTGTGTCAGTCAAAAGGTAAAAAGAAACGGAAAATATCATTTCACATACTGCTTTAAAATAAATCCAGTGTTCTACAAAACCATTAATCGATCAGATTAGCTTTTCACTGGCAGACAACAGCAAGACTATATTGATGTGCATGGAGAAGGGAACCAGAAACTGGATTTGCAGCAGGCAGGCAGGGCAGCAACTCAAGCACTGTGACACCATTACAGAGCACACATGCAAGAAAAGAAGTTGATTGATGGCAGTGACCAGGGTCAGCCAACAGACCTGTGATTGCCAGCCATGTCTTTAGTAACAATTCAGCTCTGGCACATGGCCAGGGAGTCAAGACAGTGAGGCCAGGTCAGGGACAGTGGGGTGCAATTCCACGTATCAGCAGGGCTGCCACAAAACTCTCACATGGACATAGGTCAAGCACCTGAGTATAATACAGCTTTCAAAGGAAGAGGGAAGAGACCATAGGCAAAGCTCTCTTTTAAAATTCTCATTGCCTGTATTTTTACAGCAGTTTGATCCCATGTTATACAGGTGAGCAAAATCAGAATTGACTTAGAACACAGACAAACTTCTAGGAGTTAGGGGAAAAGGATGCAGAGTCTGTTGGCTCCCTCAATATATCCTGGTACCTGCAACAGTCAATTTTTTTTCCAGTGGACATCAGTTTAAACACTGTGAGAGTTTAAGTCCTTGGCCTTTGGAGAGAATGGAACATTTCACAGAATATTGTCAAAAGATTTTCCTTTATTTGGCTCAGGTTACTAGTGTACAGCTTTTTCTGATTTTGGTAAATAGTGAGATTGGAAAGTATAAAAAAATTATGAAAGTAACAAATAACCTTACACACTGTAGTGGTTTAGGTTCACCAATTTGAGTTTCCCAGCCAATGCACCAAATCATGTAATGGGTTTAGCACTGGCTAAAATCACCAGTGCACCTACTAGAATTATTTACTAATTTCCTGCTGTGAGATATGAATTAGAAGGAGGGCAAAGCAGGCTCAAAACTTAAAAGGTATAAAGAAAACTTTATTAACAGAACTAAAAGAGTAATAAGAATCAGAATAAAACCTTCAGAACACTTCTCTTCCCCTCCCCACTACCTCTTTTCTTTCCCTCTGACAACATAGAAACAAAACTTGGTATTTTCAATCAGTTACCACCTCTACAATAGCCTTTCATCAGTTCTTGTAGGGAGAGAAGCTTCTCTCGTCATGCCATAGAGACTTCTCCACAAGAAACAGTTCTCTTGTGGCTTTTTAATTTTTGTGAATAGCAGCCAACCGGGAAAATCTGCAATCATGAAGTTCCTCCTGTCTTTCATAGCTTTCCCACAGCTGCATTCATAGGCCATGTCAACTTATGGGGTACTATTTTAAGCATAAGCTGTTTAAAAACAAAGGTTCTCTTCATCTCTCTCTGAGATAATCTGCATCTCTGGGAACAGAGGTCTTCTTTCCCTAGGGTCTTCATCACTCTCATCTCTCTCTCTCTGTTCAAGCTTCTGATGGGATCACAGCTACTTCAGCATCTGCTTTGCTTCATTATGGATGCCTCTGCTCATGTCTACAGTTTGAGCATTCCATCCCCCCATACTTTTTCATGAATTAAAGGAGATACTCTAGTGCATCATAGTCCATCTCTATGGCTTTACCAAAAGAACTCCAGCCTAAGATTAAGGCATCTCCTCATTCCTCTTCCATCTGGGACTTGATTCCTTCTTGGTGTCTTCATGTTGTCCTCTACGTGTCTTCACTCTACTCATTCCTCTTCCATCTGGGACTTGATTCCTTCTTGGTGTCTTCATGTTGTCCTCTACGTGTCTTCACTCTACCATTTTCTCTCACTCGAGAGGCTCAATGTTTTGCAAGCTGCACCTGTCTAGTGAAAGAGTTAATGCCTCGCCCAGGCCTGCGGACGGTCATGATGGTTTCTGCCGGGCAGTGGCTGAAGCAGTCACGGTGACGGATTTCAGGCTGTGCTGGTGTTGTGCCAAGATCTCAGGGGGCCCGGCCAGAACAGTGGCGGCCGCTCTGGCCGCATGGCTGGTCCCTGGCCCTGCTTCCTTCAGTTTCAGCTGCGGGCCGATGGCTTCTCCTCCCTCTGCCCGGC